ACTGTAATAACTAGAACAAATGACTGAATCTCAAAAACATTTTAAGTGGAAGAAGTCAGTTTTCCTCCAATCCTAATGCTGCATTCTTCGTCATATAGTTCAGGTTCTCAGGTTATTTGCTCAGCATACAGATTGAATAAGTATGGTGAAAGGATACAACCCTGACACATGCCCTTCTCTATTTTAAAACATGCAGGATCCCTTTGTTCAGTTTGGATGACAATCTCTTGATCTAGGCACATGTTCCTCCTGAGCACAATTAAGTGTTCTGGAATTCCATTCTCCTCAATGTTATCCATAATTTGTTATGATCCATACAATTGAATGTCTTCACATAGTCAATTAAACACAGGTAAACATCTCTCTAGCATTCTTCGCTTTCAGGCAAGATCCATCTGACATCAGCAGTGATACCCTCATGCCACGTCCTCTTCTGAATCCAGCCTGAACTCCTGGAAGTTCCCTGTCAATATATGCTGCAACCGTTTTTGAGTTGTGTTCAGCAGAATTTTACTTGCATGTAACATTAATGATATTGTTCAATAATTTCCACATGCTTTTGGATCATCTCTCTTCGGAATGGGCACAAATATTGATCTCCTCCAGTCAGTTGGTCAGGTAGCTGTCTTCCAGATTTCTTGGCATAAACAAGTGAGCATTTCCAGCATGGCATACATTTGTTAAAATGTCTCAAGGGGTATTCTGTCACTTCTTAGAGCCTTGTTTCTTGTCAATTCTTCCAGTGCAGCTTCGACTTCTTTCTTCAGTACCATTGGTTCTTGAGCTTATGCCACCTTCTGAAATGATTTAATGATATGTTGACCAATTCTTTTTCTACAGTGGTTCTGTGTATTCCATCCATCTTCCTTTGATGTTTCCTGAATCATTCGATATTTTGCCCATAGAATCTTTCAATATTGCAACTCGAGCTTTAAAAAAGTATAAAAGTACATAATGCAAAAGGCACAAAAGAACTTTTCAGGGTGATGGAAAGTTTCTGCACCATGATGCTGCAGGTAGTTATTGTATACTATTGTCAAAATTCATTGAAATAATTAATTTAAAAAAAAATAAATAATACTTCTAAACAAGAAAAGAAAGAAAAAAAAGCAGATGGGAAATCTTAATAAAATATCAACAAATGAAGCATCAAAACTTCAACTTTTGAAGCGTTTCAGCAGATTTCAATTATTAAAAAAAAAAAAAAGCTTCCAAACATGAAAATATTGTGATTTATCTCTCCAGAAACAAAGAATTTAGCTATTTCAACAAAAATTCCTACATAGTGCAAAATTCAATTTTGAAATTCTGTAGTTGTATTTTAGAAGAAATATTTTGATGATAGCCATTTTTAATTGAGTCAATGTGCATTCTATCCTGGAATGGAATGAAAATTGAGAAGGCATTTAAATTTGGTGAAAAATCACATAATCAAAAACTTAAAAAAAAAATTTTACAAGCTTTATGAAAACATTTGTCAAAGAAAGTTCTCTGAATAGAGGCAAACATACTACCTGTGCCAGTATATTTCACATTTTCATACAGTGTTTTGTACTGATTATGTCCTAGACACAGAGGAATTTCTGCAGGCCCACATATCTCAGCACTTCTAGTGTCTCAATTTAAATTGCTGTGTTCCACAGAAAAATCAAGTTTTCCAAATTAATAACTTAAAACATAAGTTTGAAGATTTAGAAGAAAAAAAAAAAAAGCACTGCTCAGGAAAGTTCAAGTAACACAGAACTAGAGACAGATATGACTAAGAAGCTAATTAATGTGTGTTAATATTGTTATATATTATATATATATATATATTATATATATGTTATAGGAGCTCTGGTAGCATAGTGCCTAAGGCACTTGACTGCTAACCAGAAGGCTGGCGGTTCAAACCCACCAGCCACTCCTCGGAAGGAAG